TCGATCCAGGCGGAATCTCAGATGTCCATGGAGAACATGGTGGAATCTCAGGTGTCCATGGAGCGCATGGTTCTCCTAGGATTGAGGTGGCCCCAAGGCAGCCGTTGGGATCTCAGTCACTCCCTAGGACAAGCGGAATCCCACGCCAGGTGATTCCTGCTGGGAATTCCTGAGGAATTCCAGCTGGGACACCTCCAGTTCTTCCAAGGGAAGTTCTGGTTTTCCATTCATTTCGGGATCCGTAGCTTTCCTTGGGTGTCTTTGTGGGCTCCTGGGCTTCGTCCCTGGATGGGAACAACCCCAGGGGTGGAATCCCGACATTCCTTGACAGAAAGCTGCTGGAAGCAGTTGCAATCCCAGCCCAATGGGATTGACTGGGAATGCTGCAGGTGACTCCACTGGGATGGAGTCCGAGCTGGGACCAGTTCTCCGGGATCCTGTGGATACTCAGGGCACGATCCTTGGATGGCGGTGGAGTGCCCATCCCTGGAGGTGTCCAAGGAATTCCTGGACGTGGCACGGAGCGCTCTGGGCTGGTGACAAGGTGGGGGTCAGTAATCCTGGAGGGACTTTCCAACTTCTGGGATTCTGTAAATCCAGAATTTGCAGCCAAGAGGGGATTCGTGGAATGCTAAGGGGGCTTTTCAGACAACTTCCCACAGTTTTTGGAGTTGTGCTATCCGGGGGCGGCTTTGTCCATGGGTTCCCATTCCGGGAGCTCTTGAATCCATTGGAAAAGGGAATAGGTGGAATAGGGGGGACATCAAAGCCCTGAAGATGCTGGAATTCTTCAGGAATGAGATGGAGATGGAAGGGAGACTCTGGAAGTGGGAGGGGTGGATGGTGAAGGCGGAGCCAGGTCCTGGTGTCACCCACAGTTCCCTTGGGAACATTCCCTGTCTGCTCCTCACGGATCCACCACTTCCATGGTGAGGGACAAGGGAGGGCAGTCCCCATATTCCCAAATCACGGAATATCAGAACGCTTCCGGCTGGAAAATCCCTCTGAGAGCACCGAGTCCAAACATTCCCCCAGCGCTGCCAAATCCCAAATCCACGGGAGCCCAGCCTGGAGCTGTGACTCAGCTGCTCTTCCCATCCCACTTCCCCCGCTTGGGGGGAATCCCATTTTGGACCACATTCCATCTGGGATTAGCACTTTATCGCGGCCAAAAAAAGGGGAAAAACAGCTTTTCCCCCCACGGATCGGGGAATATCTCGCTAATTGCTCGCATCCCTCCCAGGCAGTTTATTAATTGTGGGAACTGGGCTGAATCCAGGGAAATTTCAAGCAAATTTAAGTGTGGCATCATTTCATTTCCCGGCTCAGCGAGCCGGGACGAGGCTGAGCGGGAATGTGGCGATGGATTGAAAAGGCGGATGCCGGGCAGGGAGCCGGGAATGGCACAGCTGGAAGAGGAGGTGTCAGGGTTTGGAAAACCAGGCGTCTGCTGAGGAAGGCAGGAGCCTCCCCTGAAATGGAAAACGTAAAAATTCCCTCCCTCTGAATTATTATAATTTTGAAATTAAGGGGCTTTCAGGCAAAGATAGAGGAGCAGGTGTAAGAGTTAATTATTAGGAAAATTAAAAGTACAAATGCACTAGTACAAACAGACAAAACCAACCCTGGCAGGGTCAGAGCAGCCCTGTCCCCTGTGGGTCAGGGAGTGGCTCAGCCCCATCCCAGGGGGGCTCAGCCCTCCTGCAGTGCCAGCTGTGCTTCTGCTGGAGCAGGATCTGCACAAGGGGGGAGTTTTCCTTGGAGCTCCAGGGCTGGGGGAGATGGGCCTGGGTTCCTCTGGGAATGCAGGGGGAAGGAAGCTGCTCCTCTGGGAATGCAGGGGGATAAAGCTGCTCCTCTGGGAATGCAGGGGAAGGAAGCTGCTCCT